CACTTCCTTCTTCGTCTTCTTCTTCTATCCTATGTTTTACCTTCTTATTCCTTGTTTTTTCTACTCTCTTCCTTCGTTTAACCATTTCCTTCTCGTTCTTCTCCTTTGTTTTTCATTGGTCTTTCTTGTTTTTTTTCCTTCTCCCGTACTTCGTTTTACCTCTATCATCCTTATCTCTCTCCCTCTTCCATTCTTTCGACTTTGTTAAACTAGTAAGCATGAAAGATGATTTTGTAGTGTTTTTTTTTTAAATAAAATACAAATTAAATGAAAGATAAACATAATTAACGATTTATTTAACAATTAATCACTTAATAATGAATATTTTCTTTAAAATAAACCTTTCATTTCGGTTGCACTAAACAATTATTTCTGAAAATTCGTCTGTGTGTTTGTTTGTTTACATAAGACACTCATATTTTTTTTTTTCACTTAATCAGGGATATTTCCTTTTCATAACTTTGTTGATTATATTTCTCACCCTCTTATAAAGCTTCCCATATTCTTAACCCGTGGAGAAGCCATATATATACATATATGAATTGACTTTTTATTAACTCTTGTTCGTCTGTCAATCGACATTCTAAGATGACGTTCTTTACCAGTTTTAAGTTAATCACGAAAAAGGTTGAATAAGATTGTTGTGTCAACAGTGACGCGTCACATCCGGTGAATATTTTATTGATCAACGTCACTTCCATTCGTGGACAGATACTTTGTTACTATATCAAACGAAGATGCACTTCACACGTAACATTATCACAAGTTATCTTCGGATTATGAAATTTGTCAATTTTCCCTTAAAAAATAACATTAAAGAAAGAAAAATAAATAAATAAATCTATTTATTTTTTATAAAATATTAAAGGTTGATAGGTATATGGATAAATGATTATAAGAGGCAGGAAGAGCATCAAGATCAGTTGAAGGATAGGTTAAGAACACCATTAAGCTAATGTAGTAAATTTAGTGTTGAAATTTATAAATATTTATTTATTCTACTCAGAAATAAAATAATGTAGTAACTTTGTTACTATTTATTGTAAAAAAAAGAAAAGTAAAATGTATGTTGTAAAAGAATTGAGATGATAAAGATCAGAAGAAAAATGTTCACTTTGACGATTAAGAATTTAGTTTAAAAAAAATATATGATAGTAAAAAGTAGAATCTTCTTTTTAGAAAGATTTATTTGAAGCTATTCAAAAGTATTTCTTGGAAATCTTTTAAAAAAAAACAAGAAAAGAAAAGAAAGATTCAATATTTATGTTGTTGTTGTTGTTATCATATGCTTCACTTAGAAATTTAACTGTACATTTTTGCAATGATATTTTGTAATATATTTACTTATAATTTTATGTAAAAACATAAATAATTTATAAATTTAATTTAATATAATGTATTTAATGTAATTCTTCGTGTTTTTTATAAATTATTTAATGGGATTTATTCGTTTTCTCGTCCCACTTCGCTTGTTTTCCACATCTCTTAAGGATAATTTTGAGAAAGTAAAGTTTATTTGTAGTTTTTACGTTAAGTTTTTTAGTATTTTTTGTGTAGATTTTCCTCATAAATGTTCTACTTACATTGCTCTCTTTGCATCCATGTACAAAGATGACAATACAAGATGAATACCTTCTATTGTACAATTCTTCTATATAGATAAAAGAAAAAGCAAGAAAAGACAATAGCAGTATATGAAGCAATGAAATGAATAGGAGATTAACGGTTCACTTATTTACTTCTTTCTTCCATTTGTATTATAGAAGAGAAACCATAAGTAGGATGCCATTACTGAAGAGAAATTAAATAAGTATTGTTACATATGATCCATTTAAAACTTTTGTACTAAAGTACCTTCCACGTAGTATATAGAAAAACATAGCAAAGAGAGAAGCATACTTGTAATGTTTTTATGGATATAACATTAGAAATATTATCATGTATTTGATAGGGAAAACATTTATACGTGAATCTAACAATAAAAATACATGTTAAATATAATTTTTAATGTAAAAAATAACTTTAAAACAATTAAAGTTTAAATGTTACCTTCGAAAATCTTTACTTTTATATAGAATATAGGAAGATATCGATTTTATAAAAGAGAAAATATTAATTTATGAAGATAAATCAGTGTATATTCTACCAGGAAGTTTTTTGAACGGTTCTGAATATAGGTACATAAAGTGTAAATAAAAAATTATCTTCCCGTGGAAGATATTGCAGAGATAGATGATGGATGATGCCATTTACACGCTATTATCTGGAACTAATAGATAAATCGAATGGTTTATAGGGATGTGATTGTCATTTTAGCCATCAGTAAAGCGATAAGAATTACTTTATCTTTATGAAATCCAAGTTCTAACATTTTTCTATTTAATTTTTTTGTGAAAGTGATTCTCTAATTACGTTTAAAATAGGGTAAAAGTGAAAAACACATTGCTGCAATATAGTGTTATTTAAATAATAGGCTTGTATAACTGAAGATTATGAAGCTTTTTATACTTTGTTTATATGATAAAACATATTGCAGAGAAGCCACAATTAAAAGTGACTTTCCATTATCTTTCTTTATATTTTCTCAGCTCGCATCCATCTCTTGTGAGGTACTGTTCTACAATGGAGGAGGAGGAGGAGGAGGAAGAGGAGGAGGAGGAGGAGGAGGAGGAAGATGTGGAGATTACAGTAAAAGGTGATGATGGCATAGAGATTGCTATAACAGATTCTTAAAGTTTTTTAACGTATTAAACAATCTCAGCCTTTATCTCATTTTATGATTGTTTATATTATCAATACTAAAGTAAAGCAGGGTATATTGTTTGATTAATTATATATAAAGTATTCTCCTTATAGATGAAGGAATAATAGATCTACTGCATCCCTTATTCACACATTCATTTAACTTTCAGGAAAGAATTTATTTTAGCAATAGCATTGAATCAATGAGATAAAGCAGTGCAAAACCTCTGGGAGGATTTTCTGTGGGAAATTTTGCCTCTATTCAGGTGTTATACACTGCTAATAAAACTAATTATAAATAACAACTAGAAAAATTCATAAATAAATAAATATAATTTATTTTAATAAAGTTTTACAAAAGAAATGACAAATTAATAACGTGCCACAATGTTATATTATAACAAATTAATTAATTCTTAATAAAGAAAACTGGACACAAATGCTGTATGATATTATTTTTAGACATTAATAATTAAAAAAATTATTATATATAATATCATTATATTTATTCAGAATCATAATTTCAACAGTAACGTATTAAATATTTTTGCGAAAGTAATGAAGTAGAATCCATACTAGGGGAAGCCCAAATTAAAACGTGCAAACGTACATTCATCCTGTATTTATATAGATGGATCACGTATATAAGCATGCATCTATGTCTTTTCATCATATATAAATTTTATTTAATACTCTTCATTTATTTATTTTCAAGGATGCTGAAAAGGAAATCATCAAGGATGCTGAAGAGGATTCGAAATTATTAAGGATGTTGATCCTGTTGTGACTAGTTAGATAGATTCGTCTAATAACTTTTAAATGATTTAAATAAGCTGTAACTTTTATGCAAGTTTATTTAAAAAACAAACTCTTGTAGATCATCTTCACTTCATCAAGTTTAATGATGACAATCATCCATACATGATCATGCATACAATTAGGGGAGATCGGGGCAACTTCGGCATGCGGGGCAAGTTTGTCAAGCGCTTTTTTTAAAAAACAAATTAAAAAAAAAAACTTTGATTATAGGTTAGGCAGTTGAGTTTCATTGGTGGCTTGTTGAGTGTAGTGTTTTTATTGTTCTCCAACAAGCGTAGTTGAATTATCAAGCAAATTTTCATTTTCGTTCAATTCCATATAATATTTTTTTTCCATTTATATTGAATTGGCAGGTTTTGTTATAATTCCATGATAACGAAAGTTACTTTTCCTGTTAGAAGGATGTAACTTCAACTTATTCACGTGGCCAGATCGTGGCTTGGCATTCTGTTCTCAGGGTTGTACTTAATGTTTCGAAATCATGACTAGCGGGGTAAGATCGGCAACATAAAGCCACATTAGAAGCAAAGGATAAAAATCAAACAGATGATAAATGAAAACATGTTTGCATTTGTTATTCATGTATATATGTCTTTGAACTTGCATTTCGTTGTAATAATATTAAATGGGTGTTGGATTTGTATTTCTTTGTTTTAATAGTGAATTCCAACTTATACATTGTTAATAACATAATTTTATATACGTGCCTATCTTGCCCCATTACTGTTGCCCCTATACCAGGGGCAACTTTAATAAAAATAATTAAAATAATTACAACTTTACAAAAAGAGAGAAGTTGCCGATCTTGCCCCTATACCCGGGGCAACTTCGTCAATTTCTCTCTTCTTGTAAAGTTGTAATTATTTTAATTATTTTTATGTCCAAACTGATTTTAACCAGATGTATAGTAAGGTAACATTCCAATAGACAATATGCAAAAGGTTTTTTTCAGTTTACAGCAGTATTTATTACACAGAATTTAAGTAAAGCTTAACATGCCGATCTTGCCCCGATCTCCCCTATATATAGAACATTATGTACAGTACATTTCTAACTGAAACACGTTATTCTAACTCTATTATCATCAAGATATACAGTTTTATATAAAATATTATGTATTATATACACATATATATTAAGTAATTACATTATTTTCACTGTTAAATTATGAATTCCAGTAAATTCTGATAGACTATAGTACATTTTCAAGTTGTGCAGAATGGTAATAATAAGCTTTAGACTATAATAATAATTAAAAATAAATAATAAATTGTTATTTTTATTTATAAACATTTAATAGTTATAAAGAAATAATAAAATGGAGAAATTCTTTATGAAATAAAATGATATCATTCGTCAGAAGAACCTAAAAAAAATTAAGGAAAAAATTAATTAAATTAATTAGGAAAATTATATTATTTTTTAATATTAAAAATTACCTTTATTTTCCAGTAAATGATGATAAATAAATATGAACGTAAGGTTAAATTTTCTTTGTAGAATTTCCTCAAATATTTTTAACTGTAATGATGAAGAGAGATGAAAGCTTTTGTTTCCACTGAAATATATTTCTAAATATATATATATATAATATGGAATTAGTTTAATGAAGAAATTATATAATGTACAATACTTATAGTAAACACAATACTGTACAAAAAAAACCAAGCATAATTCCTTCATATACAATGTACAAAATGATTAGAATCTGGAGAAGAGAGAACACGTTACAAATTCACAAACTTTATGGAAGTTTTCAGGTGAAGATATAATGGTCTTAAGCTTAATGACCGCAATAAATTCCAAGGAATGCCATAACTGCAAGGTAATATAGCGAAGAGGGAACTCCACGTGTGACTTTTGAAGTGTTACGGATGCGGATTTCGTTATCATCCATGAAATCCATAATCAACACCCATATTCCATCATCCATAATCATTTAGGGTGAAGGTTTTCGTCACTTGAAATGACCAGAAAGATTCTCTTGCCAAAATTCTGTAGAATTTGTGGGATACACTACAGAAATGTGCTGCAAGAATGAACTTTGTTTCCGACAGAGTTAATAAAGCACGGAGATATAGGCCAAATTAATGGTTATGCCCTATTTTTTTGGACATGGTTGTAAGTAATATACAGTGGCAGGGTACGGTGGAAAATTCGAACTCTCTACAATTAAGAAATTTGAATCTTTCTTTATGGGAAAGTGTTCGCAGCAAGAGTTAAGATTCAAACCCTCTACCTACGACACGATTTCTTGATAGGAAATTTAAATAAAAAGCAATGCTTCACGGTACTATTAATCAGAAAGAAAAGAAATTCATTTAAACAATTATCTTCTTGCATTTTTGCTATTGTTGAATATAAAATAAACGAGAATTTTGCTGAAATATTAATTAAAATAACATAATAATTATTTGTAATTTGTAAAACTACTCACGCCAATAATAAAAATAATATTAACATGAGGTCCGTTTAATCGATTCATGGTGATTTTTCGGCGATTGAATTTCTCCTATAGTTGACATATGAGTCGACATTGACACCCGTTTCATTGTGAAACTGTTCCAACTTCTGTTTTGTGAACCTTGACGTAGTTTGTACCTCTGGTACGACCTTTTCAGCAAATAAACCACCTATAAAGATTTTTAACAAATAATAGTTGTATACATTAACATCAATAATACATAACAAGAACCATTGTTTAAATATGTGCTAATGTAAACACTATAGCACTGGTACACAAACACGTTTGGCATATAAATAAACACATAAATAACAACAATATATACGTAATAATCAAACACCTGGACATAAACAACTAAAACAGACACACATTCAAATGTATAAACACAATATACTCAATTCAAATACATAAAACAAATTAATATATTCGACCATATAAACGTATGGCATTAATACAACATAAAGACAAAATAATGAATCTGTAGATACTCGATACACATCCAAATATATATATATATATATTGTAAATCAACTTCTATCTAAATTCCTTGTGTATGAAACACTTGATTGGATTAGATTTATAAAACAGGGCAAAGCAACCCAATTGGCATGAGAGAGCTATTAATGGGGGTGCCCCTTGGCTCTATTTTGGTGTTATCCTCTTGAAAAACACGTGTAATATCAACACAGACACAAACCTGCGATTTGTTTAAGTGTTATATGAAAGCCAGAATGCAAACCACTTAGGTATATAGAGCCAATGTAATTTTACATCCAAACACATGGCTACATTACCACAAGACATATTTCTACACAGGTATCCAGATACAAACATACATAATCTTATTCGAAATCAATGTCAGAAATACTATTGGTACAGTACATACATTCAAATTATGGAAATAGGAAATTGTTGTGTAATTTCATATAAAAACAACGTGCGAAATCAATAATAAAATAAAAAAACACAAAAACATGCATGAAAAGACAACAAATTATTTAAGAATATTGCATTAAAATTAATATTCATACAACACAAAAAGCACAGAAATAGCAAAACACCTGCTAAATATTCGTTCTTAGTCATTTCTGTGCGTGCCGTGCGCCGCCCTCCTGAGGTACTTGTAAACTTTTGTTGAAGACGATACCTCTGCAGGGAGCGCCAAATAACTGTTTGAATCTGTAGGAAAAGGCGAGCATAAGCGAACTAAACCATGCTAATATATTGAAATTTCTTACAATGTTTCTTTATAACAGTATGGTTTCATCCTCACTATGATCTAACGTGTAATAATCTTTATATAACACCTAGAATTTTTGTGTAATTTATATAATTTATAGTAGTATAGTCTATTTGTTTTCCATTATCAAACAATTAATAAAAAATCCTCGCAATAATTTTTATTAATTCCGAACTTTTTGGCACTAGGCACTCATCGTGCCAGGGTATACGATCCAATTACTAATAAACCTAACACTGTATGGGTTAGAGATAAAAACATGGTATTTCTAATTGAAATTTGTATGCGTATCCTTCAGATGATACCTTCTATTATCCACGGATAAGAGTAATACGAGGTAAAACCATGGTATTATTCAAGAGCCATGAAAGTCTTCTTGTTGACTCGGTGATGATTTAATAAGAAACATTATAAGAATAATGCTAATATACTATAAGATTGCGAAGTAAATCTCACATTATTGGACAAGTATATCCTTTAATACAGTTATATTGTATACATACATAATACAACTGTAGGGAATACTTACTTCTCCATTCGCATAACAGAATATCACAGCAACGATCATCCCCTGACGAAATAATTAATGATAATCAATTATAATATACATATTTTTATTGTATAGTGTACATTATATATAAATTTATAATATTTATACCTGTAAACCATCCATTGCATGGCTAAAGTACGTATAAGCTTCTAAAAATTCACATTTTCCAGACTGTGGACGATATATCACAAGAGTAAAATGGACGCCAAATAATGGAACTAAAATTAATGTTGCTCTAACTGCTTTCCTATAAATTATAGAATAATTATATTATATATTACATAGAAGAAACATTTAAAATATAATAATTTGTTTACCTGTATTGGCTGGGTTCATTAGCATGAGTAGCACGGAGTTTAGTGACCAAAACTCTAATGATATTAAACAGGAATGCTAAATTTAACTGAAAAATAACATATAAAATTAATATTTCTTAATAAATTTTATCATTAATTTGTCTTAAATTATTATACCAAAAGACTTATCAGGTTTGGTGTATTCATTATCCATTCGTACGTCTCTTCTGGAATTGCCCAACACCTAGAAAAAAACAAGTCAAATTTAAGTAACCTATTATTAGTTTTATATTTATTTAAATGCCAAATTAATAAAGATAAATATTTATATTAATCGTAAAAATTCAATTAAATTCAGGAGAAGAAAAGGCTATTCATACTTGCAGCTTAACATTAGAATAACAATGCTACAAGCACAAATGAAACACGTTGTTTTCGAGAAAAGACGTATGAACAATTGTTAATGATATATATATATATAGAAAACTTACCTGACATCTGAATAAATCTTCCTTAATAAAGCGTAAATACAAATTGGTATTGCTGGAAATGCTAGATTCATAAATATAAATGTAAGTTTTAACGTTCTCTTCGTGGATAAAGTGTTTTTGTTTAATGCAAACTTAACACATACCCCATCCAATTAGATAGAACATTATAAGGCTTTTCTGTTCAGCAAAAGCTGCAGCAATTAATTTATGTAAGTAAAATCCTTCACACAGCATCCACATGTAATTGGTCATACGAAAATACTTAGTCAGAACGAACAAAATTTTACATCCTACCTAAGAATATGTATAAAATATTGTTAATTTTAAACGTATTTTATAGATTTTTTTTTATTTATACAGTAGAGCGTCGATTAACCGAAAGTCAATCATCCGAAACGTCAATTATCCGAAAGAATTCCAGTCAGCAAATTTAAATTTCCGCCAGTGCTGTGGCGCTGCAATCTTTGGCTATGTCTTGGGCTACTCAAACATTTTACGTTTTTGATACTAAATTAACTTATGAAGTACAATTTTTTATTGTTTTTATATTTTTCAATATATTTATTTTGTTCGTACAAAATATAGAAATAATTTTTAACGATACAATAGTTCTCGTTAGGCTTAACATCGACGAAAATTCAACGCGAAGCGACACGTAACGGAGAAAAATGTCAGGCTGGGATAAATTAATATATTTTTTCGTACATAATCGGTTATCCGAAACATCGATCTTCCGAACAACCCCAGTCCCCAATTGATTCGGATAATCGATGCTCTACTGTAATTATGAATGAACTAACCCCATTAGCTTCCAAAATTGTATTTTCTTCACTTGTAGTGTTGAGCTCGTTTAACATAACGATGGACTTAAATAAGATTACAAAAATACCATTTAAGAGTAGTGAGGCAAATAAATGTTTATGCATTGTAATTCGATGAACTTGCAATTGTCTAGAAGAAAATACATTTGTTTTACTATACAATTTCATTCGTAATTCATATATTATATTCACTTACTTATACATCGTGAATATTATCAATGCAGGGATGAGGAAGATAATTGATATAGCGTAAGTTACTATGTGAAAATATAGTAATCTTCTGACTTCCTGTGTATAAAATTATACATTATTTAATCAATCATACACTATTGAATAATATGCCTTGTATTTATTCACTTACAGCTACACGTCCACAATTTCCATAATTGGTCCACTCGTTATTATACTCGTCGTTGACATACCAAGTACCATTGGGCCAACATTCTTTCATAGCAAAACCTATATAATACAAAATATCATTAATATTCTAGAATTATTAATGTTCTAGAACAATATTAAAGTTATATTTACGTGGGCATGCAGGTTGTTCACTTTTAAAATAAATATGCCTAGCGCAAGGAGCAATTGCAATTGTACCAGCTTGGGTATCCGGCCAGCACTGCCAACCATCCCAGGTTCTTGGGCAATATGTTTCTGTAAACAATACAAAATGGTAAAAAACTATGTTTAAATTTAAACATAATTGTTTAATTATAATAATTACCTTCATTGGGTTTCGTAGCCTTTGCCATTTCTTCGCAGCAGTCGAGAGCAGCTTGGCAACATTCTGCCCATTTCTTTATAAATTCCTCCGAAATGAATGTTAAAACAATTGGGCAACTGGTGTTACTAGGATCAGGTAAATATGGTGTATTATCTTCAGGGTTGTATAAATATCCATTGCCTTTATACCTGTGACAACGAAGAGTTTTGTGGTACATTATTTTATACCCATTTTGTTACGTAAAATTCGGAATTCTTACACAAATTTCAAGCTCATATTTGGAAAGATCCAATCAGGTAAGTAGTCGTAACATCTTGCACACGTATCGTAACGGTAGAATATATAATTTAATTCTACTCTTCTTTCCGTACGGCAGTAAACATTGCTGTATTCAAGAGTTGATTGATTTGCACCCTCTAAATCCGCATGGATTAAATGAAGTACAATCTGGAAGTAACATGAAAGCTCATAGTTACTTATTACAGAACGTAAACTTTAAAGTATAATCACGATTTTAACTTATGTTTTCACTCAGAACACAGAGTTTCAAAGAATTTAAGGTAAGATTCTAAAATTCTATGCAGTGAAACCCCTACTGTGGTTCGGAGCAAACGTGGTCTTTACGAAGAATGGTCACTTGGAGAGCTCCATTATCATCATCATATCATTAACTACGAGCTTAATGCCCATTATTGTCTCGTGCCTTTCTTACAATAATAATTTTGAAGGCGAATAAATAAATACTTGTAGTCAAAAATATAGAGTAAACGTACAGGGTGGTCCATAAATCGCTTAACCAAGACGTATATAAGTTTGAAGTTTGTAACGATCGTAAAATATATTTTTTGTTAAATGATTTTTGAGCCACCCTGTATATTCTAAACATTATAAACAAGACTATTGAAAATAAAATACAATTTTTTTTTTTATTAAATAAAATGGTAATAAATTACCTCATGATTTTACCTGATTGACTAAAGCAAAATAAAGGGTTGACAGATAGAGTTGACCCATTACGAAACAGGGAATTTGTCACACTTTTACTTAATCCAATCTGTTTTAACTTTCAAAACGTCGACGTTCGGTGAAGCTGTGATAAGTTTTTTTTTTTTTTCAATTTCTAATAAATAAAATGAGAAAAATGTAAATTATTCAGGTAGAATTAAACAGAAACTGTATCATAACACTTAAATTCTTCATTCCAGTTATGAGCATGTTCATTCAATATGTGAATAAATACCTGGATGATCTCAGTGGCACTGTCCTATTCTAAATACACCATTGGCAGAGGGGATAACACCAGTAAACACTGGTCGTGGGTTCGTTCCTGAAGTTTTCTGAGCTTTTTCTTACTTAATAGATGTAAATAAAATCTATAATGATATAAACAATAGGCGCTATTCAGGTATTAGACACGTGGCCTTCATGTTGCTCAGGCACGAACCCATGACAAATGTTCAGGAGTATTATCGACTCGCCCATAGGTTTGCCCAATTAAGCGATTATTTGATGCCCTGTATTAACTCTAATACGAATTTGGGTAAATTACACAAGAAATTTTGATAACACAGATTACTTTAAATGAAGTTCCATCATACTATTCCACTCTCCAGCATTAAAATAACAAAAAAATAAACATATTAAAGTAATAAATTAGTAAATGTAAGGTTTAATGAAGCATATTACACGTTATTATGGTCCATTAAACTCTTAATGCATCATTATCAAATTCTTTTGATAATGAGGATCATTTGTGAAGGTTAACTATGTAATCCCTAATTAAACGAGCTTGACACTTGGCATGTGCATTTACTAAATTATTAAATATCAAAGAAATTAAATAAATAATATAATTAGAAAGAAAATTGTTAAGTAATAAAATTCCAAAATCATTTAAAAAAATAACATTTTATTAATCTTCATGAACATATTTAACAATTAGTTATTGTTTAATGTAGTGAAGAGCAGATAAGAATACTTTTTATTTGCAGTAGACCCCCCTATAACACTGTTGATAATTCCGTGTTATATGAATTCCGTGTTGTACGAGTCACTTAGATTTTACAAATACGTGTGCCGGGCTGTGAACGGCTCATGTATTTGTAAAATCTAAGTGACTCGTACAA